GTTAAACTCCCACGTTCCCGAAACACAACTCACTGTCGTTTCTGCACCTTCTTTTTAAAGTGCTACAAAATCAAGCGTATCATGTAATCATTATATAAGTGACTTCAAAGTACTATAAAATGTTTATAGTATATGAAAAATTTTAAGGCAAACATACTAGTTATAATGACTCAACACTGGGCCAATTCTCTTCATTGATACAGAGAGCTTTAGGAGTATAATCTGTGCTTCTCATGCCCTAAAGCTCTATGAGGAGCCCTGGTGTCGCTGCAAAGTTGACAGTTCAAACCCACGAGGCTGTCCTCTGGAGTAAGAAGAGGCTGGGTGGTATCCTAAAAATGTATAGCCTCCAATACTATATAGGGTCACTGTAATTCAGAATGGACTGAATGGAAGTGAGTAAAGTTCTGTGACCCACTTTTGCTTTTATAAATTAAAAGGAAATAATGAGCATAACCTAGGATTATCCAAAACACTGTCTAAATTCTATGCAGTTCTGATCCAAATCCCAGCACAATTTGTAGAAGAAATGGAAAAAACCATCACCCATTTTTATTTGAGAAACCCAGGATACAACCTAGGAGGGAAAACCAGGATAAAACCTAAATATCTAGCCACACTAATATAAACAACTTAGTATTGGTACCGCATTAGACATGAAGACCAGTGGATTAGGATCAAGAACCAGAAATAGTACCTGTAGAACCAAGTACCTACAGACACTTGATATTTGATAAAGGACTAAAACATAGTAAGTGGGAAAGAGATAGGCTTTCCCAGTGGTCCTGGGGAAATTGGATCTCCACTTATTAAAGAATGAAACAAGACCCATACTTCACACCACAGACAAAGATGAATTGTTAAAGACATAACTATAAACCCTGGAACCATAAGGACCATCAATGAAAAACTAGGGACAAACCTAATACAAGGCATCATTTGTGGGAAACTGAGAACCCAGAAGAGAGTATATGTGGACAAATTCTCTACACTCATATTTAAGAAGGCTGGGAGGCTTAGACTTGTGAAGGAAGGCCTTCACATTCCTGAGTTGGAGATGAATCCAAGTCACATTCTCCTAAATAAAAGTTATTCTCCACGATGTCCCCCTTAATAATGCCAATTTCAAGATGCTGATTGCAAGCAAATGGTTGCTTGAAGGTTATTTGTCTGAAGGTTGTCTGCCATCAACAGCTGGCCACCCCACCCTAAGTAAGGCCCATTCCCTTCTGATAAGGATCATAGATTGCTCCCCTGGAGAAGAGCTCAGGGTCACTTAAGGTCAAGCCAGCTCAGAGAAGACCAAGGTTAAGGTGTCATCTTAATTCTAAGAACCCACGCATCTTGTTATGTGTGTACTTTCCTGTTACATGCACCTAACCAAGTCGTCTTTGTGGTACGTATGTTTATGACGTGGCTTACATGGCCGAAATTATATAAGCTTGTGAGGTAATACATTCACTCCCTCTCGATTCTGCCATCCAAAGAGGTGAGCCCTTGCATGCCTTGTCTGTTGTTTCTTCAATTTACCTCTCAATTACACAACTGCCCCCGAGGACCCGTTGGGTGGTGAAGGGTGGTCCCCCACAATAAATACACTACCGAATATAATTACTTAATAGACACTACAGAAGATGAAATAGAGGCCGGGAGCCTTCTAGAAATGAGACGTTTGTGTGAATAAAAAGACTTCATCCAAAGAATAAAAAGATAACCCACAGATTGGGGGAAATACTTAGCAATATTTCAGATAAAGGGTCACTTTCAAAAATCTGTAGAAAACTATATCACCTCAACGGGAAAAATACAAATAACCTAATAAAAAATGGGCCCAAGACATGAGTAGACAATTTATTACTTAGCAGTGAAAGAGCTAGTGCTTTCCTGCCGGGCAGGAAAGGAAGCAAGCAAGGGTGTTCACCCTGTCCCGTGAGTGCTACTCCACGGCATACAGAAAGTTCTCTGCAGTGCCGTCAGGCAAGTGCAGTTCTGTTTCAAAGGAACACAATTTGGAATGAAATAAGAGGTGCATAGAAATAAAGCTATCCTACTGCAGGGTCTTTTTGAGTTAGGCTCAACTCAGTGGCAGTGAGTTTGCGTTTGGATTAGAGAAGTCAACATGAAAGGAAAACTCTCAACTTGATGGAATAACACAGGGTGCAGGGAGCAAAAATGGGCTCAAAAATGAACAATCGTGATGATAACGCGAGAGTGGGCAGTGTTTCATTCTTTTGCACACGAGGTCACTGAGTCTGAACCTACTTGACAGTACCTAACAACAAAGATATTCATAGACAGTTTTGTTCATTAAAAAAAATCATCCAAGTAAATTCCAAATTGTGTTCTTTTAAAAATCAAAACTGTGCTTGCCTGATGGCGCTGCAGAGAACTCTCTGTGTGATGTGGAGCAGCACCTGCCAGAGAGGGTGAACAGCCTTGCCTACTTCCTTTTGTGCCTGGCAGGAAAGCGCTTGTTCTTTCACTGTGAAGTCAGATCATAGCTATAGTTTCTTGTTTGGGTTTTTGTTTGTCGACCCCTTGATCAAATTTAAGGTGCTCCCTTTATTCCCATTTTACTGAGAGTTTTTATTAATGATAATGAGTTTTTGTCAAATGTTTTTTCTGCATCAGTTAATGTGTCCATGTGGTTTTTATTTACTATCTTATTTATTTTCAATTTAAAATCATTTTATTGGGGGCTTGTACAACTCTTATCACAATCCATACATACAAATGACACATCCATTTATTGTGTCAAGCACATTTGTACACATGTTGCCATCATTCTCAAAACATTTGCTTTCTACTTGAGCCCTTGGTATCAGCTCTTCATTTTTTCCCCGTCCTCCCCCCCATGAACCCTTGATAATTTATAAATTATTATTTTGTCATGTCTTACGCTGTCCGACATCTCTGGCCTTCACCCACTTTTCTGTGGTCCATCCCCCAGGGAAGGGGTTATATGTATATCCTTGTAATCAGTTCCCCCTTTCTACTCCACCCTCCCAGTATCACCCCTCTCACCACTGATCCCGAGGGATTCATCTCTCCTGGATTCCTTGTGTTTCCAGTTCCTATCTTTACCAGTGTACAGCTTTATTATTATTATTAACATATTTTGCTGCTATTTTTTTTAAGTTTATGAGAGATTTCATATATACTCAAGTATATAAGTCAACCTAAATATCATCCGAGGCACCTAATTTTACCACAAAAACTGCATTAAAAAATATGCTGAAAAACTGCTTATACACGAGTATGTATGGTATTTGTGGCTTTCTTTCTCATTATACAGCCTGTGTTTGGTTTTAGTATTGGTAATAATATTTCATAAAATGAATATAAAAGTTCTGTATTCTAAGAGAGAATGTAGAGTTGATGTGATTTCTTCAAATGTTTGTTAGAATTTGCTAGAAACCATTTGAGTTTAGAAATTAGTTTTTAAACTTTCTTTAATAGTGACGGTAATATTTGTGATAACCCTTGGATGTGTTTTATAGATTGTGGTTTTTAAGGAGTTGATCCATTTCATGTTGTCATGCTTATGCTCATGTAGAGTTTTTCATAGTATTTACCTAACAAAAATTTCAATGTTTGTGGAGCCTATAATTCCTATTTTATTTCTGATATTGGTACAGTAACATATTATCATTTCCTCCCTAGCTATATCTAACACATTTTGATATGTTGCATTTTCATTTTGTTCTATTAAAAATATTTTCTAATTTCCCTTGAGAATTTTTCTGTACTTAGAAGTATGCTCTTAAGCATTTAGAGATTGTTGTGTTATCTTTACTGCTATTTGTAGTGTCAGTTCATTTTGGTCAGGTAACCTATTATGTGCGGTATGATTTCTTTCGTATTGGTTAAGAGTTGTTTATTGGCCCAGGTTATTGTTTATTTTGGTGACTGTTCCTGGTGCGCATGAAAAGAATACGCATTCTGCTGATCTTGAGGGGAGCCAATTGAGGCTAGTCAGTTGATGTTTTTCTGCTCTTTTATGGCACTGTTTATTCTTTGTCAACTATTTCTATTTCTGAGAGCAGAAATACGAAGCCTACAATTGTGGGTATCTGTTTCTTTTATTTTGGTCAGTTTTTGCTTTATGTTATTTGAAACTCTTATTTTCAGGTGCCTATACATAGAAGATTGTTGTATATTATTGATTAATTCACTAACTCAAGCTGAGGTGAATTGTGTAACACTGCACGTAAAAACTAGAAAATTCCCTTAAAAATTGTATTGTAAAATTATTACTATGCTTATTTGACCTATTCATTGTTGCCATCAAGTTGGTTCCAACCTATAGTTACCTTTCGAACAACAGAACTAAACACTGCCTGGTCCTGCACCAGCCTCACAAGTGTTTCTGTGCTTGATTCAGCCCAGTGTTGCACCCATGTGTCAGCCATCTCCTTGAGGGCCTTCCTGTTTTTCTCTGCCTCTTCACTTTATCAACAATGATGTCCTTCTCCAGAGACTCGTCTCTCCTAACAATATGTCCAAAGTATGTAAGACGAAGTCTTGCCATTTTTGCCTCTAAGGAGCACTCTGGCCATACTTCTTTCAAAACAGATTGCTTTGTCCTTTTAGCAGTTCATAATACTTTCAATATATTTCTCTAGCACCAGAATTCAAATCTCAGTTCTTTTTTAGTCTTCCTTACTCATTGTCCAACTTTCACGTGCACATGAGGAAAAGAGCAAGTACTGTGACTTGGGTCAGGCACACACACCTTACTCATCAAAGTAGCATCCTGAAGGAAGTCTTGTGCCGCAGATTTACCCAATGCAGTACATCGTTTGCTTTCCATACTGCAGCTTCCACGAACATTGATTGTGGATCCAAGTAAGACAAACTCTTTGATAACTTCAGCCATTTCTCCATTTATCGTGATATTACCTGTTGGTCCAGTAAATTATAATTACTAATAATAGTTTTTGGTTTTTATTTATTCTCTTGGGGGTTTTAATGTGTGCTTTATTGTTTCTCAGTCTCAACAACCTGGAAATGGAAGTTGAATGGATTTTGTCATGTGTCTGAAGTTTAATGGGATGTTTGAGAAGAGAGCTATATTAAAAGGAGAATCTCTCAAATGGCTTCAGAACCTACAAGTGCAAAACAAGCTAAGAATTACTTCACTAAGGGGAAAAGGCAGCAGCACCAGCCAGTAAGGAACAGATCTTCAGTTAGTGATGCTGATGGCGATGACTCCTTTGTTTTTGAAGCAAACGAAGCATGGAAAGATTTTCATGGTTCTCTCCTACAATTTTATGAAAATGGAGAACTCTGTGATGTCACATTAAAGGTATGATTACCTTTTTCTCTACTTTATCTCTAATGTGTTAGTACACTCTCTTAAGTAATGTTCTGTATTTCCTTCTTCGGGTTCTAATATCCATTGCAGTGACTGCACAGAGCCTCATGGACAAAACTCATGATTAAAGGGTGTATTAAGGAAGGTAACCAGTTGTAACACCATTGAGAAATGCTCAGGGTAGTTGCTCCATCGGTTGGGATGCCCATCACTGTTCCATGCTCTGTCTCCTGAGTCTGCTGCTGTTCCTTTGATGGTATAGCTGTCATCTGGATCCAGGAAGTTCACTATGCAGAAATCTTTAGTCCAGAGGACTTTATGGAATAAAAAGCGTTGTCTTTGTCCTGTGGGGTGGCTGGTGGTTTTGAACTGCCTGCCTTGTGGTGAGCAGCCCAATGCATAACCACTGTGCCACCAAGGCTCTGGTGTGAAATTCAGAATAGCTAACTATATAGAATTAGAGTAATAGTTTCTTAGGGTTAGAGCAGCAGAGCTTGCGGAGCGGGGGCGGGGGGGGGGGGGACCTAATCATAATGGATACAAGAATGAAGAAAATGTTTTCAAATTGATTTTGGTTACTACACAACTCTTTAATCTATTTAAATCATTGAATTGTATGCTAGATGAATTATATGTCAATAAAAGTGGAGGTTTTTGTTTAAAAAAGACTTACCGGTTAGCTAGGGACTGGTAGAACCCCCAAGACTAAGGCCATTAGGTATGGAAATGAACTCACTTCTGTGGCTCAGTTTTCAGCCAGAACAGGTCTCAGTGGGGAAAGAAAGGTACATGCAATTTGGAATAATCAACCATTTGAGATCCAAAGAACAGCATTTTCTCAAGGACAAAGTTCAGAAGAATTCGGAAAGAAGAAGGAGTGGAAAGAAGGGAGGAAATGGGATGAGTGCTTGTTACACTGTGGGATTACAATCAACGACATTAAACAAAATGTGTTTGAATAGGAAAAAACTGATCTGCTATGTAAACCTTTACAATAAACAGGGTTTTTGAAAATGAGTGTTTCTCAGATAACAGAGAAAATTTAGGTACTATTTTGAAGGGACATAAGTGAGAATAAATGAGGGGGGAGTGTAAGCAGAGGAAACAATGACTATTAATTAAATTTATTTATTATTTCTTAGCTCATTTGACTTCTGGAATTCCAGAGCCACAGTTATTATGGAGTGAAGTTAAGACATAGCCATTGACCAGATAAGCTTTTGACTTGGAGTTTAGGAATCTTACTGTATTCACTCACTTTGGGATACAGGCTAACCAGCTAACTTTCCTGTGGAGCTGATTGCTTGTGATGGCAATCCCCTGAGTTTCAGAGTAGATCTGTGCTCCAGAGGGTTTGCATGGGCTGAGTTTTCTGAAGCTGACAGTTTAGACTTGGATGAAAAGGTCTTTCAGGGAACGTTAAAAGTGCTAAAATAAGTGAAATTGAATTTAAAAATTAGCTTCTTAAAATAGCGATGATTTAAAATGTTTAGTGCTTTTAAAATTTGACAAAATGGGTATTCTCAAACATTCTTGTTGGATTTCTAGTTGGTTCAGTGTTTTTGGTTGCAATTTGGCAGTCATATCAGGAGTTATTTTAAAACGCTTTGATTAATTATTTTAAAACGTTATTTTAAAAAGTTATTTTAAAACGCTTTGATTAATTCTATTTTTCAGATTTTAAAGGAAATATTTTCAAATGCTGAGAAAAAACTTTCTGCTTTAAAATATTGTATAGAGTTTCTGGAGGGGTTGCAGCAACTGTCATCTAGCTGAGAGGAACTACAGAGTCACGAGGGGAGTGTGATAGTGGGACAGGAGGAAGGTAAAAGGAAGTAGAAGAGAACTAGGAAGCAAAACTATTTAGAGAGTTTTACTGTGTATACATAGATGTGTACATATGTAAATATATTAATATATAAAAATTGGAGCATTGGCCTCTGTACATATATTTATAAGGCATTGAGATAGTGGATGGACTCTGAGCCTCTACTCAGGTTTTCCCTTAACACAAGAATACTTGGTTCTAACAATCTAGCAATGGGTGATGCCCACCTTCCCCTGCTATTAAAAATATAGCATCTAGGGTCTTAAAGGCTTGAAGCCAAACAAGTTTCCATCTAGCAGGGAATTGACAAAGCCCACATCCAAGAAGCACACCAGCCTGTGTGATCATGAGGTGTTGATGGGAACAGGCATCAGAAGTTCAAAAATAAATAAACTCATCGAGGTGAAGAAGAGGGCTTGAGGTAGAGACTTAGAGGCCATCCAGGGATAATTGGACATTTCAGCACAGAGGGGCCACACGGAAGAGAAGATACACCGGGGGGCGGGGTGGGGGGGGGCAGTATAACACCAACGCAACACACTATACTTCTCTAGGTCCTTAATCCTTCCTCCCCCCACTATTATGATCTCAGTCCTACCTCCCAAATCCAGCTAGTCTGGCATACATACATTGGTATAGACGAGAGCTTTCCAATTTATGGAATTCAGGATTGACAGACCCCTTAGAAACAGTAACACAAGTAATGAGGGAAGGGGGGTAGGGGGAACTGTTAGCAATGATGGCGAAATAACCCCCTCCAGGGGGACAAATACCAGATTGTAGGTGGAGGGATAGAAGGGGCGTTGGAAGATATGTATAAATAACAATACATATATATTAAGGGTTTGCAAGGGTGACAGGGCCTGGAAAGAAAAAAGAGGAACTGATATCAAAGGGCTTAAGAAGCAAGACGATGTTTTGAAATTGTTGATGGCAATATTTGTATATGTCCACTTAATATAATGGATGCATTCACTGTTATGTGTAAGAACCCCACCCTACCCCCACCCCCCACGTAGCAAAGAGGAAGTGCTGAAAGCCTGGTGGGGAACTGAGCATGATAGTGAGACAGGAGGAAAATCAAGGGAAATAGAGGAAAGAGCTGGGAGGCAAAGGGCATTTA